ACTCCCTCTCATTTTCTAGAGACCATTAAACTGTCCCTGCTATCCAGGGAAACAGTGAGTAGAACAGGTAATTCTTGTCACTACTGGCATTGTGATCTGAAAATCATAGTTAGTTTTCAAACCAGCAATTTCCTCTGTATCAGACTCAGGGTTTGGCTATATGTTTAATGTAGCCATTTATAGGAAGGTTTGTGAGGAAGACACACTATCTTTTTGCTTGTCTGTAGCTTGAGGATTTCATAAGGAACTAGTATAAAGATTATCCTAAATAGTATACTGATACACACAATATTTTTTCTGAAGTAGGTAGAATACGTTGCAACATTTTAGGTATTCTTTTATTTTTTTTTTTTTATTCTAGGTTTGTTCACATAACTAAACATCTCTCTTTAGAAATATTTCATAAAGGATAAGATTGTTCCAGTGAGAAATGGGTGAAGCTCTTACATGTCTATGAAAATTTGGAGACTGAACATAATGTCTCCATAGCAAAAGAAGTCACTATAAAATCAGCAAATAAACAGCTTATATATATAAATTTCATAGGTGACCTCCCTTTGTCATACAAGGGTCTGGCTGAAGAGTTTCTTATCCTCAGGAAGAAATGTTCTTTGTCATTTCTGAGATAACGTCTTTCAAGGGCCTGATGTTGCCTAATGCTAAATATAATTAGCAGGTATTCTCTTCCTGAGAATTTCAGCTGAAACAGTTTCAGGAGAGGACAAAGCTACCAAAATAAAGGCTCAAGAAACTCAAGGTTGAATACTTATATTTTCTATGGCCTGTAATAAATTGATACAGCAATGAATTCAAATTTCCATGTGAACGTGAATGCTTGGATAGGGGTATATGTCTTGTTTTACTAAAACAGTTAATATATTTGTGTATCACTTTTTCCAGATGCTCCAACATTTGTGTCGAATCAAACCATGTATTACTCTTGGGAAGGCAATCCCATCAATATAAGCTGTGAAGTGCTAGCAAATCCATCTGCTTCAGTTCAGTGGAGAAGAGGAAAATCAGTTTTACCGGTAAAAAATACAACACATCTGAAGACCTACAGTACAGGAAGAAAGCTGATTCTAGAGGTAAGGCTTAAAATGGAAATCAACATAGTGACATTAATTAATTTCTTCTTCAGTTTGGCACCACTGCAAGTACTATAGGGTGCATTTAAGGATAAGACTTATAATTTGATAAGTAAAGGTCTTTTTAAAGAAAAAATATTTATGAACTTATTTATCTCTACGTTTCTTGTAAGCAGTTAGAAAATAAACCTCATTTGCATGGCTTATGCTCAGTTTTCCATCTGCAGTGAACAAAAATGTAACTTGCATTTCTTGCAAGTAAATAAATACATATATAAATATAAAACTAACCCATCAGGTTATTACTAAAAATTAAAGTGACTACCTGGTAGGTGTTTGGTGTATACAAAAAGATTTGTGTGGCTTCAGCCAAGAACAAAGCACAAGAGTAAAGTGATAGCAAACTGTAGTTGGCTTTGATAACAACTGTTTCTTCACGGAGGCACTGGAAAAATAAGAACTAAGCTCCCTTCTGTTATCTAAAAGGTACGTGTAAGAACAAAGCTGGAGAAAGGCAGAAGACAAAGAGTGGACCTTAATTATCTGTTTACTTTATTAACTTGACTGAACAGTGAACTACTCAGCAATTGTGTATAGCAAATCATGGTCCTTAATTAATCATTTCACAGCAAAGTGTAACCAGCGTCTCCAGCCCTGGTCTCACTTGTAACAGGGATGACATACTATTTTCCTTCACAGGTGTGGAAGAAGTTAGTTTTCTCCATTTCTACCTAGTGTCAGGCTTATGTCCCAGCATAAGCTTCTCAGTTGCCATGGGAAGAAAGATTGAGAATCTACAGGGCTAATCAGAGTGGGGGACCTACTTCAGATCCCAAGCAAGAGATGTACAGTGGACTGAAAAAAACCTTTTTTTTTTTTCCTAAAGTCCAAACAAATAACCTCATTTCTTGTAGTAGAGGATATATATTTAAAGAGACACAGTCTTACTCTTGTTTGAAGGTAATCTTTAGGGTTTTTTTTTTTAAGTAAAGCTTAACAACACAAAATATACTTTACAGTCTTTGGTTCTCTGAGTACTCTTCCATTCTTCTGTCACCTGAACAATTGGTCAGGCAAGCTGGATTCCAATAAAGCATTAGCTCCTTGTGGTATCTATTATTTGTTCTCTTATGTCCTTATTCACCTGAGTTTACAGTTGAGCCATGTCACTCATATCTTCTTTTTCCCCCCTGAATGGCTGGTGTATTGTGAATACTGCAAATAATAAAAAGTAAAATATCATTCTTGCATCATCTATACGAAACAGTAATTTTCAGACCTTTCATTGCTTATTTCAGTCAAAGTATCAGTTTGTGCAAATAATGTCTATGAAAAAAATGTGAAGTTTGTTAGATTTTTTTTCTTATTTAAAAGTGAAATTGTGAATATGAACAATGTCACCATTTTCCATTATTTGATTCCATCATTTGAATTTGAGACGGGGGAGTTTAACACAAAAAAGGGTGTATTTAGATCTGTATTTGGAGAATATACTAGATAGGCTGAAGTAAGAACATATCTGCATATTGGTTAAGGACAGCATTTTTGCATTTCTGATTTTTCTTAAAGAACTTTGATATTTGATTAGAAACTAATATTTACATATTGTATTCATTTTAAAGATTGCTCCCACATCTGACAGTGATTTTGGACGGTATAATTGTACAGCCACAAACAGAATAGGAACAAGATATCAGGAGTATACACTTGGTCAAGCTGGTAAGTTAAAATGTTGTTTCCTTTTCTTTAAATATTTTTTCTATTTTAATAAAAATTAAGTTCAGACACACTTTCCTCTGTTTATTTTATTCCAATGGAATATTTGCAGTTAATTTTAATTCTCTAAAAGTTGAGTTGCAATATAAAGTAAAATAAAACAGTTCCCTCAGAATATGAATCTTCTTTGGATTTAATTTTAAGGCCTTCTGAAATTTGAAAAAATGGAATTGGTCTAACTTTTTTTCCTTTGCCCTTATTATATCCTACATTTGTAACAGTGTATTTCCATTACTTCAGTGGAGAGATATATGGTTTGCAGGCAGTGAAAATAAGAAAGAATTAGGAAAGTCTTTTTTCCTTTTTCTCCCTGGTATTTTCTTGATAAACCAAGGATAACTGAAATACTTCAGTGAAGAATTTCTGTCTTCACTTGCACTTTTAGTTATTTAAAAGCAGAGTGCTGGATTGAATTAATTTAAGCTCTGAGATGTTCTACAACAACTGTTGAATTTCTGAATATTTTTAGGTCCATCTATTGTTGTTTAGGCAAATATGAAAATATGACTGTATGTTTGTTCTTTGGCACAAATAACTATTAACTGAGAGTAAATGAGAGCTTCTTAGCATTTCTTTCAATTTTATTTTTTTTGTGGAATGGACTAATGCTTGTTCAGCAAGCTTTGATGTCTTCCGACATTTGGATCTACATACTTAGATGATGCAAATTTTTCCAGCTTTAATGACGTCTATGGAGTTAGAATGCAGTTTACAGTAACAGAGGTACAGCCATATTGAAAGCTATACACCCCTTGTGATGCATTGTTGTGGACCATTTTTATCATTTAACTTTCAGGTCTTACCATACTGCCAGACTGGCTGATACATATTGAAAGAGACAGGTAGAAATAAGGTCCTGTATATTTTTTTTTTTTTAAAGTAGGACTTGTATATTTTTTATGATCGTGAATGTTTCAGCTGTAACTTTTGGTTACCTTTTTTTTTTTTTTTAAATAAGAAAATAAACTCTTTGGAGCCTTACTAGGAGGACCTTTGGAGCTATAGTGGTGCTGAAATGTGCATATCCAGTCATAGAGAGGCTCTCTTACCTGGCCTGGTGTTTTGATTTTTATATTTTTACTGAATAGGGTAATTATTGTCTGTTGGTGCCTCAGCAGTTATAAAAAGTAGTTTTTTACATAAGAAATTTCTTAGAATGTTTGGTTTTATTGAGAAAACAGCAGATTACTGTGTGGCACAATTTTACACCATCCAGAAGATCCATTCCCCTTAATTTCACAACTTTTTTTGGGTATTAGCTGTGTTGCAAATCCGATCTTCCTTTGACAGCTACGTATAACTAATGAGAAATATATTACCTCTTCCTTTTGCATGTAACCATGTCCCAGCTAAGTCCTAATTTCACACAATACATTCTTTACTTTCCACCTTCCAAAACTCTCCCCAATATAAGGACTCACACAATCTAAATCATGCTTAAAATAATTTTAATTTTGTGAAAAGAAATTCCAAAAGAGAAAAGTTTGTAGAATCTTCAGTCATGTTCATGATCATGTACCTGGTTGATCCCATTTATTTCAATGGAATTACTTGAACAAATGAGTTTCTGTAATAGGGCTAAAATTATGACTGTAGCAGCTCATCAGTACTACATGTGTTATTAAATATGAAAAATTAATACTCCCTGTGATGTTGAGAATTGAGGTAATAACAGAAAAGCTCTAAGCTTTAAGGAAAAACACTATTTCTATACCAACTGTTCTGTCTCTAATTAAGAAATCTCAAGACTTGTGGGAAGTTAGCATTGATTTGAATAGGTAAACTATATCTGTGTGTATTACTTTATCCATTATTAATTTTTAATTTAGGAAGTAGATTTAGCCCTTTAAAAATCTCAGGACTTGATTTTCTAAATATTAATCACTGGTGTAGGATTTGCAGAGTTACATTAAATTCATCAAACAAAAGGACTGCATGTAACCCTCTGATTTTAGTCAGTTGCATCTATTTCTCTTCAGTAGCATGCTTTATCTTTGGGGCAACACATGCATCTGTTGATTTGACAGCAGCACTTGTTCTGCCTGTCCTGCTGGGCTAGGTGTTACACTTGTCTCTGGAGTATCATCTCTAAGATTTGTTACATGTGAGGCATCACTGGAAGGCAAAAGCAGTAGAAGTACCATGTGAAAGCTGCTAGAATAATTTCTCAATTCCTCTCAAAACCAGAAGACTTGGCACTAGAAGTCTTAAAGTCATGAACATAAATGGAAGGAAAGGGAAGGAAAAATCCCACTTGCATCCTTCTGGTGTCTTACCTCTCAGGACAGAAAAAGATGAGAAAATAGAACAATTATGTAAATGAAAACAGAGGAACTAAGTTTGTGGTTATTGCTGTGCACTGTTTTTTCATAAAGATGTATATACATATGAGAGCAGATATTCTGTATCTGCTGATTTTTCTCTTAGATTTACAAAACAGTATCCCATCACAACGCATGATACTGCATTGTGGTTAATTTAGGTACGTATTTCTCTCCTGCTTTTATAAATAATTAAGTAATTTTAATACAAAGTAATTCTCATTATTAATTGAAAAAGAACATGATATTTTGATTATGCATTGTATTTCAGCAAAGTCTCACATGAGAGCCCTTGAAAATGCAAGTGAGAGCAAATAACTCCATACAAGTTATAATCCTGTTTTGGCTTTTTAATACAACTATATCAGATATATTACTGATGCCAGTTTTCAGACAGCTTACTATTCTCTACTTTTGCAACAGTTCGCTTAACATTTTTCAGTCAGTTCTTCAGAAAACTTGATGAACACTTAAAAAAAATGCATTGGAGTTCTAAACATAGAAAGGTATATCAGGTATTTAGTGAATATGTAATGAATAAAGAATTATGGGAAGTTATTATGTGAAGCATGAGCTATATATGGACATTCTATACAATGATATGAAATGCAGAAAATAGAACAAACTCAAATTTTGTAGTAATAATAATGAACAGGTATCCTTAACATAAGCCATTTGTTGTGCAGTATTTATGTGGCGCTGGAAAGAG